GAGAGATTAGAGAAAAAACTTTTCCGAACTTCGGATTCCGCCTTCAGTTGCAGACTTCAGAGTCACCGTGATCAGTAAGTAATGATCTCATGTAGCAAACCTACAGGCGTCCTCTAGTAACGAGACAGAATGTGCTAACATCGGGATAAATTAGTGAAAGGGAAGAAAGAATAAGAAGAAAGGACTGAAAATCTGGGCTGGATTCCGCCTGTTAGTCGGGAAGTGGCATTTTTTCCGCTCGTCCTGACATTTGATTTCTCCAACTAACTTACGCAGGGGGTGAAAGGATGGGGGGGGGAGGAGGAGGAAGGAGAAGGAGGAAGAAAGGGAGGGATGAGGAGCTGGGCTGGTGGAGAAAAGAAAGGTGTGGAGGAGGGAGCAGACGATGCAGGGAGCTGATAAACCAGTTAGAGCAGCCTTCGCCTGGGGCGGGGGGCGGTGGAGCGGGGAAAATAACGGCGTCTGAAAGGGGCTGTCTTGGAAACCCGAAGGATGTGATGTTTTCCTGTTTTATGTTGTTTTTGAGAAAAAAAGAACCGAGTTCTTAGAATAGTCCCCGAGGAGGGGTTAAAATCCTCCGCCGCGCAAGCCGATCTGTCATGTGGTAATTCGATAATTAGAGTCAAAAAGATTTTTTTTTAAGGCGACCTTTTTCCAGGACAATTTTTCCCTCTCTACACGCAGCGAACAGCGCGTCTCTATTTTTTCCTCCTCTCTCCACCTCTCGCCCACCCCCTCCTGTGTTTAGTCAGATGGCCTCAGAGCTTGGCTTAGTATTTTTAATTAGCTGGCGTTTGGAAGCTAAAAGCAGTAATGAATTGTTGATGGATTGGAAGCGGAGAGTCGCTTTGCTGGAAATGTCGGGGCTGGGAGAGGGGGATGGGCGCGTTAGCAACACCAACCATCTAAAAGGAGCGATTTTGTTACAGTGCAAGCCTTTCACATCACGTGAGGATCAAGGGCTCAATTGGTTGTCGTGAGAACAAAAATGGTGACAAGCGTATCAAGAAAATACTGATCTGGTCTTTAGAAAAAAAAAAAGCTGAAGGTCTCTCCCTTCCCCCTACCGCCCGCCCCCCCCCCCCACACGCCCTGCAGTGGGCGAAGCTACAAGTTATGAATGTGAAACATTTCTCAGCCATCTAGGATCTCGGAAGTAAATGTAATGGCCACAAGAGCAAAGCAGATGTTTTAAAGAAACACCTTATAAACCTATCCTCAACTGATCTCCAATTTGTCTGCTTTCTCAAAGGGGTCAGGGGGCGGACGACTGGGGGAGGGGGCAGGGTACCTCGGAGTTCCTGCGATTTTTGTGACCCCCCCACCCGACTTCATGTATTAAACAAAGAAAAACATTTTGCTAGCTCCCAAACCCAGCCTTGTAATAAACACACCATTGTTACTATTTGTGGGTTTGTTTGTGTTGGGTGGGGCTCCCCCCTTTCTCTTAATGGTGTTTTTTTTTTCTTCCTGCTCTTTTTTTTTTAAGATGGAAAATGGTAGTTATAACCATTACATGTAATGGATGAATATTCCCTAGTTTACTATTAAATTACTGAGCAGGACGATGTGACAGGAGAGAAATCGGCTTGTTCTACCCGGGTTCCGATTTGCCTGCCTCGGTCTGGGCGGGGGTCTGCTCAGCTCCGGTAGAAAAAGGGAGGAGGGGGAAGGTGCGCTAGAGAACTCACACGGCGGACCAGGGTGTGTAACTGAATCACTCTTAGTTTCCTTTGGGTTAGAGCCCAAAAAGGTAATTTACTCTAAGTTAGCCCAAGTGCCCAGTCAAGCTTAATTTGTCTAAAGAAGTTACAAATGCTTCACCCTCCACTGAATAAAATTCACCCTTCTTGGGTTGTTATAAATGCAAAGCCAAACCCTGTAACTAGTTCCTCATTTCAATGCATAAAACTCGCACATTCCCCTGCATGAACACCCCACTAAAGTGCTATATAGCGACACACCACGCAACCGTACTTACGGTCTGTATGGGAGCGAGTTGACCTTTTCCTTCTAACTGCATTGAGTGTTTTTGGTGGCAGCCGCTTTATTTTGGAAATTATAATTTCTTCAATTTTTTTTTATTATTAAAGATGAACCAGCAAATGTCACAGACCGTCCCGTGTATTTTTTATAAAAAAAATAAAAAACAACAAAATAAAGCAAAATCCAGAACACAGAAATCCCCCGGTGCACACACACACACACCAAGCTTGTTCTGGAAGAGTGGAATCAGAACTGAAACACAACACACGCACAGGGGGAGTGGAGCCAAAGGAGCTCTCAGCCTGTATACCTGAAAGGGACTTTTCTTTGTTCCCAATGCCCTTTCGCATCGGGCCAATCAGAGAGCAGCTTTTATGAAACTGGGCTCTCCCATTGGCTAGCTGCTTTCTCTTGGCTACTGTAGGGGGTTGAGATACACACACGTATAAAACACACACTGAGCGCGGGTGGGGGTGCGATGGGGGGTGGCGGTGGAGACAAAGCGTTTTATTTTCCAAGCAGATTGGGGTTGCGGAACCTCCCGCAGGACGAAGGGAGGGGGAAAATGAGGCGCCTGTTTCAATTACTACATCATTCACATAAAACACTTATTTATTAAAACACATCTCAAGCAGGCTACGAAGAGAGGATGTCGGTAAATGCAAGTTTGATTGTGTTATCTTGGGGGAAATAATGTCTGTGATCGCTCGGTGGCAGAGGGAAGCCAGCTGAGCCACAGGCGCAGAGCGGGGACGCCGCTCCGTGGAAACCCACGCGAGCGGTTTGCTGTTGTCCCTTCCATGTCCCAAGGACTCGGTAGCCCATCTCTGCAGCTTCTGCCTCGCAGCTCTCCCCCACCACCTTACCCTTCCTGCAAGAAAAATACCCCCCACCGTGTCTCTCTCTCTCTCTCTCTCTCTCTCTCTCTCTCT